GCGATACCAGTCTCATCGCAACTAGTTTCTAGGGCAAGAATTATCATCTGGTTGATAATTTAATTATTATTTTCTTTTAAATCGAAAAAAACGTTTAACACCTATTTTTTTTGAGAGAGTTTCAATTACCGCATTAACTTTATTGTGATTATTCCCTTAAATAAGTATGTCATCATCAGTATATAGAGCAGTTGCTCTCTTGTAGACCTTAATCTCACCACCCCTTTCTTGCTCATTTTCTTCATACTCAATTTCAATATTAATCGGAGAAGGACTTTTACTCAAAATATCTCAACCCTCTTTAACCCGGGATTGGAAACAAAAATAAACCTCATCCCGATTGTCATTATTAATTATCATAAAGTAATCTTGGAGGTTTTTATCAATTAGTTTTTTAATTTCAAAATTATTTAGTTTAACAGTTGCCATTGTATTCATTCTATATATTATTAATTTTTATTATCAGAACTTTTTTCTAACCCCTAAATTCCTTTTTGTCTATATACATTTTTCCAGTATATGACAGAAACTAATCAATTATCAGTAAATAAGTTTGCTAATCACAATGAGGTCTCTACTCACCAACAACCGCAAGCAGTAGACAAAAAATTAATCAAAATCACAGGAACTCTCACCTCCCCCATCCAATTAAAGGGCGAAAACACCAAAGAACCCTATTATTATTCATTTATTAGATTAAAAGGGCAAAGCACAGATTTACCAGTTATTTTCAAAATTAAAGGCAGGCCAGTTGACAAAATGATAATGACTAATAATGATAAATACTGCTTGAATTGTAGTGCAGTAGCCAACTATCCTAACCGATTAAGCCATGCTTTTTATTGTCAGTATAATAAAGAAAGTAAAGAAAAACCTGAGGAGGATAGTTGAATCAAACCTAAAATCAAAAAATCTGACACAGTAGAATTAACCGGTCATTACTCTAACTCCCCGCAGAATGTCCGCAAATCCTTTACCTGCTTTGCTTATCAACTCCTCCATGAAAGGCACAGCCTTGTCGGAGACCAAAGGAGAATTAGAAAAAAATGTTTTGGCTGTCTGGATAACTTCCTCACTACTCAGCAAGAAAATTACGATTACTGTAAAAACTGTGAACTAAATGGTAGCCGTTATAACCAAAATAAATGTCCCGAATGTGGTGATGGCTCCGGAACCATTAAATTCCCCCCTCAATCACCCCGTTCTTGTAAAACTTGTTATTTAGCCAAACAAGCCATTTTAGCCCGAGCCAAAGCCCAATTACCTAAATTCGAGCAAGAATTAGCCAAAATTAGGCAAATCCGTCAGCAATTAGAAAGTCATGAATAAACTTCACGAACTAGTTGGCTCAATTTTAGAAAGTAAATTGACCAAAACTTATAATCACTGACCAAATTGTTCTCCTCCGACTTGCCAACCAGGCTGTCGCTACAATAAACCCTTCCATAAATTAAAAGTTAAGGTCGAGAATAAACCCATCAAATCTATCTCAGTTTTTACTGATAAACTAGTGCAAAAAGAGAAGATTTTACCCATTCTCCAAACCACTCAATTCATTGACAAAAGATACCGCTTTACTTGCTTTAATTATTACGGTAATTACCAACTAATCGACTGAGAAGAATTACCTCCCAAAGAACCACCCTAACTAATTAAAAAATCATGTCCAAAAACCTTAACACCATTGAAAAAAAACTCAAATTCCATTGTTCTACTTGCCAAACTACTTGACAATTATTAGTAATTCGCACGGACAATCTAACTAATGCCAATACCCCGTGCTTAAATAATTGCTCCC